TTTTTTATCATTTTTTTTTTTTTTTTTTTTTTTTTTTTTATGGATATTTTTTTGGTGCAAAATTTTTGAAAACATTAAAACTCTTTTAAAAATACTTACGATTCTTTAATTTTTAAAAGTAGATATTAAATAAAAAATATATAGTTCATTAAGGAACCTTAAAAAATATATAAAGGTTAAAATGTATAAGCAAATTGTTTGGAATTGAAACATAATTATTATTTTTTTTTTTCTTTTTTTTTTAATATAGATTTTCAAAAAATATATGTACTATTGTAATAATGAGAAAAAAAAAAGATTTAACAAAAATATTTTTTTGTCATATAAATTATTTTAAATATTAATAAAAATGTGATATTTCATTAAAAAAAAAAAAAAAAAAAAAAAAAAAAAATATCTCATTTTAATTACATTCAACTTTAAAGTGTTAATTTTAAATAATTTCCATTATTATGTCATTTATAAAAAATACACTTATAGTATATCTATATATAATAAAATTTCCAAAAAATATAACTATATTACTAATATAAAATTAGCTATTCTTTTAATTTCTAATATGTACATTTAAAAATTATTATTTTACATGTGATACTTATTATTAAAAATGCTGAGGAAATGTCTTTTATAGAAAATTTTTTATTAAAATTTTTAAATCTATACTAATTATTAATTCTTATGGCTTTTATTATTTGCATTTTTCCTATGATGTTTAGATTAATATTTTATAATCAATATATTTTAAAGTTATTTTAAATTTTAATTTACTTCATGTAAATTTTTTTTTGTGATACAAAATTTTTATATTACCATACATATTTCAACAACATTTGCATGCTTTTTTTTTTCCTCTAATTTAAACATTTCATATATTATAATGAACCACAAAATAACAATTGTTTTATATTTACATAAGTTATTTCTTTTCTTAATTTAAATAAAACATATTATTTTTTAATTCTTATAAACAAATAAAAATTTATAAACTTTTTTGTATTAGAGACTTAATAAATAATGCATGGTAAGGTATGAAATTAATATATACAATATAATTAATACTATTTTTATAAAACATTTATTAGATGTTTTTTTTTTATACATAAAAATTAAAAAAAGTTAAAATTTAAAAACCTATTTTTCTCTTTCAATGTAATATTTTTATAACAATATTGAAAATAAGGATGTAAATTAAAAAAAAAAAAAAAAAAAAGGAGAGAGAAAAAAAAAAAAAAAAAAAAAAAAAAAAAAATTAAGAGTATAATAAGAAATAATAAGAATAAAATACGAAAAAAGTAAAAAATAGAAATATAGATAGAGAAATAAAGAACTAGTAAAAAAAAAAAAAAAAAAAAAAAAAAAAATTAAGAGTATAATAAGAAATAATAAGAATAAAATACGAAAAAAGTAAAAAATAGAAATATAGATAGAGAAATAAAGAACTAGTAAAAAAAAAAAAAAAAAAAAAAAAAAAAAAAAAAAAAAAAAAAAAAAAAAAAAAAAAAAAAAAAAAAAAAAAAAAAAAAAAAGATCAAAAAATATTAAATAAAAAAATTAACACAAATAAAAAGTATATAAGAAAAATAAAGTGAAAAAAAAAAAAAAAATTTTATAATAATCAGAAGAAATAATAAAAACATAAATGAAATTAAAATTTAGAAAAGAAAATTATTATTTTAAATAAATGCAAAAAAAAAATTTAACATTTGTTAAATTTATATTATGTATTCTAAATATATTAGCATGTACTGATATTTATGTGCTATATATTTTAATTTAAAAGAAAAAAAAAAAAAAAATAAATAATATATGAAATCATTTAGAATTACTATTTAATTAAATATTAAATTAGAATTTTTTAATTTTAGTTTTTTTTTTTTTTTTAAACAAAAATTAATTTTAAAAATAAAATAAAAATAGCTATTTTTCTTGAAGAAAAAATTTTTTTTTTTTTTTTTTTTTTTTTGTTTTTATTAAAATTAGATAATAATAAATTAAAAATGCTCAATTTCAATCTCTTTGTTCTAATTATTTATTTCATTCAATTAGCATATTATTACGCGAGAATTATACCAGGAGGAACTTATACGGAAGTATGTTCAAAATCACGTAATGAAAATGAAACATCACTTTATCGTAAAAGAGATTTTGAAAAGGATCTGTCATCATATGATATGTATACACATATATTTAAATTACTTCTGAAGAAAAATAAATTTAATAGTAATAAAAAGGCAATTGTAGAATATGAATGTGGAAAACCTAAACATTTTTTCACATACGACGCACTTTTTAGTAGAATTATTGGGTTTAGTCATTCTCTTAATAATTTTGAAGGAGGAGTACCAGTTAAAAAATATGATGAAGAACAGAATGGGGGAGCATTTAGAATATTAGGAATATATGGAAATAATTCTGCAAATTGGATAGTTGCCGATTTAGCATCTATGCTAAGTGGTGTTACAACTTTGATAATGCATTCTAAATTTAGTTTTGATGAAATTGTGGAAATTTTACGTGAATCCAGACTGGAATGGTTATGCACAGATCTTAATTTAGTTGATAAATTATTATCTCGCAGAAATGATTTGCCTGATATAAAATATTTGATAATATTAGATCATTTTGGAAAACCTAATAATAGTAATAATGTTTTTGAAGGCAATAATGAAGAGGAAGAAGATAATGAAAATATTTGTGAAAATGAAAAGGAAAAATTAAATAAATTAAATCAATTAAAAGAAGAAGCTAAAAATTTCGGAATTAAAATAGTTGAATTTGAGGTCTTAGTAGACAATAATGAAGGAACTGATATCATACAAAATGAATCCGAAAATTTTATCACCAGTATAGTTTATACATCAGGTACTTCTGGAAGACCAAAAGGAGTTATGTTATCAAATGAAAATTTTTATTATACACTTACGTCACTATATGATTCTAATCTTTTTTCATTTAACTTGTTAAAGCATCTTTCATATTTGCCTCTTTCTCATATATATGAAAGAATTAATGTACATCTCGCATTGTTAAAGGGATTAGAAGTGCATGTATGGAGTAAAGAAATTCATTATTTTGTAAAAGATTTATTAGAGGCAAAATCAAATTTTTTAACTGGTGTACCTAAAGTTTTTAGTAAATTATATGCTAATATTATGACAGAAATAGAAAAGTTGTCAAAAGTGAAACGTTTTTTTGTAGAAAAAATTTTACAACTTAGAAGATATAATAATAATGGAAAATTTGGAAAATTTCTCGAATCTATAACTCATATTTCAAAAAAAATCAGAAGAAGAATTAACCCCAATTTAACATTTATGATAAATGGAGGTGGTAGATTATCATCCAAAATAGAAAAAGAATTACATATTTTACTGGATGCAAAAATTTATCAAGGATATGGATTAACTGAAACAACTGGACCTTTATTCCTGCAGAATAAAGACGATATGCATTATAGCACTGTAGGAGGTCCTATATCTTCAAGTACTGTATTTAAATTAGTAACATGGGAATCTTATAATGTTAATGATAAACTCCCAAAAGGAGAATTATTAGTTAAAAGTAAGCAATTATTTTGTGGTTACTTTTTAAGAAAAGAACAAACGAAAAATGCTTTCACTGAAGATAACTTTTATAAAACTGGTGATGTAGTTCAAATTAATGATAATGGATCTATTTCATTTTTAGATAGATCGAAAGAATTAGTTAAACTTTCTCAAGGTGAATATATAGAAACGGGATTACTTAATAATTTATATTCAGAAATTTCTTTTATTAATCATTGTGTTGTATATGGAGATGAAGATTTAGATGGACCAATTGCTATTGTTTCAATTGATAAAAATTTATTTTCCAAAAGTCTATTAGAAGATAATATTTTAAGTGATCAGAAGATTTCTGAAGAAGAATTTTTAGATTTAGTAGATGATGATATGATAAACGCAGATATTTATGTAAATTATGTAAAGGATAAGATGCTGGAAACATATAATAAAACTAACTTAAATAGATATAACATAATCAATACTATATATTTAACTGTAAAAATTTGGGATACTAATAATTATCTAACTCCAACATTTAAAGTAAGGAGATTCAACGTATTCAAAGATTATTCTTTTTTCATTGAAAAAGCTAAAGAATATCATTTTAATTCAAAAGTAGAAAATCTTAAAGTAAAAAATAAATTGAAATAAAAAATAGAAGAAATATCAAAATAAAATTTGATAGGAAATCAATAGAAAAGTGATTGTATGTTTATTTATTTAGAAAAAATTATTTATAAGTCATTTTATATAATTTATATGATTAATAGAATTAATTTTTTTTTTTTTTTTTTTTTTTTTTTTTTGTTTATCATGGCAATTTTCAAATATATAATATTAGTGTTATATAAAAATTTAATTAATAATATTTTATAATATATATATGTCTTTATTATTAATAAAAATAAATTAATTTTTTTTTAAAGGGTATTAATCCAAATACCCTTTTAATTTTTTTGTAGAACCTCATATTTAAAATTGCATGAATATATATTTTAAAAACTGTAATATGGTGAAAAAAATTTTAAGTTTTGTGAAAATAAATGTTCATTTATTTTAATAAAAATGAAATATATAAAAAATAAATTTTAATGAAAGCAAAAGAAATAAAAATTAAAAAAAAAAAAAAAAAAAAAAAAAAAAAATATAAAAATAAAATTGAATTTAAAAAAAAACTAAAAAGAAATTAATAAACATGACAAATATATAAACACAAACAATATATATATATATATTTACTTATTTTTTTTTAATCTTTTATTTTTTTTTTTGATGGAAAAGGTAAAACATATAAGGTTCCAACACTATCTACACCTAAAATTTTTATTTCATTTTTTTTTTTTTTTTTATTTTTATTTGCCGAATTTTCTGCTAGTAAATCTTCTTTTTCTTCTGTATGATAAAATTGTGCTAAACATATGTTATATTCTCCTTCCTTATTTATCTACAAAAAAAATAATAATAAAATGAAATAAAAATATAACAAGCCAAATAACTTTTTTTTTTTTTTTTCATTTTATTTTAACCTTAATATTTTCAAATACAACTTCATCCTTTAATAGTTTAGTTAAAACAGGTTCCATCAAAATTTCACTAGATTCAATTATATTTCTCTCAACAAATTCAGGTCTAATAAATAAAAAAAAAAAAAAAAAAAAGGAATAAAAAAATAGATAAACTATAATTTAAAAAAAAAAAAATTTTTTTAATATTTCAATTTATTACAAGCAGACAGAATTTTTATTTACTACAAGGAATTGTAAACATTCATGTAAATTATAACCCTAATAAAAAGGTAAATAAATATAAAAAAACTCATGAAATATGAAAAAATAAAATATCAATTACTAAAATATTTCAATGAATATTTTAAAAGTAAAAAAAAAAAAATGTTTAAATACTTTGATTGTTATGAATTGTGGTATATCTTGATGTTCATCCTACAAAAAAAAAATTATTTGTTACTTCTCATCATTTTATATTAATTATATATATATATGTATATTTTTTTTTTTTTTTTTTTTATCTAATTTTATTTAATTTTATTAAAAATACATATATAAAAACTGAATATATTCTATTTCGCTCTGGTGCTGCTATAGCACAATGATTAAAATCCTGTAATAAAAAATTAAAAATAAAAGACAATAGTATTTATATTATTATACACCAAAATAGAAAAAAAAAAAAGTGTTAACTTTTTTGCATGTAGCATTATGACTATTAGCAAAAGGTTCACATATTCTTTTAATATGATTCCCTGATTGTTCTAATTTCTATAAATGTTAAAAAATAAGTAAAAATAAATATATATATATATATATATGCTTTTTTTTTTAAATTACTACTATAAAAATATTTTTACGTAACACTGAGTTGGATGATCTGGTTTGTTGTAGCACGATTCTTTATCACAATCTAAAAAATTAAAAATTTTAAATTAGTTTTTTTTTAATTAACTTACATTTTTTTTTTTTATACTAACTTATAGGACAAAATAAATGTCCATTTGATTCACTCTTATCTACAAAAGACAAAAATTGAAAAAAGGAGTATATAATTAATACTATATAAATATATGTACACATTTTTTTTTTTTTTTTTGTTTTATACTTGTTTTGCTTCTCTCAATAATTCCTTCCTCATTATACTTCTTAAAATATTAAAAAAGAAAGAAAAATTATGATTTTATATATATGTTAACATAACAATTTAAACGCATATTTCTCTGTATATCACATTTATATCTTTATATTAATATATTATATTTATATGGAAACATATAATTAAGAATATTTATTAAGTTACATCATATTTTGGTAAATTAGAAAACTTTATTAAATCATCGCCTATAAAAAAAAAAAAAAAAAAAAAAACGACAAAGTATATATTAAATCTTTTTATATTACATTCATTTTATTTACCTTTTTCAGTTATATATTTTTGTAGTGCAATTTCTGAGGATTGTTTTAATTTATGTAAATCTTCATTAATCTATAATTAAAAATAAATATACAAAAAAAAAAAAATTGATTGTTTAAATAAAAACATTTGTATAACACACTAAAAAAATGTGAAATTGAAATGATTTACAAATATATCATATTTATATATATATATTAAAAAAATTTTATATAAATATGAAATTCTTTTATTACTTTCATTAATCGAAGAGTTAAAATTTCTACTGATTTTTTTATAAGATCATTGAACATATCATACTGCTTTATTCTACTCATGGCCTCAAATTTTAGTTTTAACTCTCTCTAAAAATTAATATAAATATATATATATGAATATATATATATATATATATATATATATATATATATTATTTTTTGTCTTCAAACATTTTTTAAATCCTTGTGATAATTCAATTTGGAATTTAAATCCTTTAGTATTCCATCTACATTTTTTAAATTTTTTTGCATCTTCTTATCTATGATAAACATATTAGATTCGAAATTTTTCTTTTTTTTAAATCTTTCTTTATTCGTATTGTTCTGATTAAATAAAATTAAGGAAAAAATAAAAATACAAAGTAATACTATTTATTTTATTTTTTTTAATATATCAACTTATTTTTCAAAAAAAATATATTTACCTGAGGTTGTTCTGAAATATTTGGAGATGTGATATGATTATTTTCATCTTTCTTTTCATGAATATTTTCATTGTCTTTTATATTCTTCGTTACTTCATTATCTTCATTTTTAACTTCACTTTGTTCAATTTTAAAATTATTTTTAATGTCACTATTTTCATTTATATCTATATATGATTTTGTTAGTGTTACATCCTCGTTTACCTTTTTCATTTCATGATTTTCATGATTTTCATTATTTTTCTTAATGTCTTCTCCATTATTATGATTATCTTCTTCTTCTTCTTCTTTTTCATCTTCTTCTTCTTCTTCTTCTTCTTTTTCATTTTCTTCTTCATTTTCTTCTTCTTCTTCTTTTTCATTTTCATCTACATCTTCTTTTTCATTTTCATTTTCTTTTCTTGCTTCTACTTCTTTTTCCTCATCCTTCTCTTTCCCTTCATCTGTTTCTTCCTTTTCCTCTTTTTTCTTCTCTTCTTTCTTCTTTTCCTTTTCCTCTTTTTTATTCTCTTCTTTCTTCTTTTCTTTTTCCTCTTTTTTTTCTTCTTTATCTTTCTCTAGATCTTTTGTATTATCTTTAATTTTATTTTTGTCTCTTTCTTCCTTATTCTGATTTTCATTTCCTTTTTCATTCTCCTTTATATTTTTTTTGTCATCTTCATTTTTATCTTTTCCTATTTCTTTTTCTTTTATTATATTATTTTTTCCTTCTTTCCTTTTTTCACTTTCTTTTTCACCTTCATCTATGTCATCTTCATTTTCATCTTCTTTTTCGTCTTCTTCATCTTTTTCTTCATCTCCCTTATCCTTTTCTTCGTCATTTTCATCTACATCTTTTTCTTCTTCATCATTCTCTTCTAGATCTTCTTTTTCTTCATCTAAATGATCATCCTTTTTTTCTAAGTTTAATTTATCTTCACTTCTAGTATTTTCTGTTATTGCACTTCCATCCTTATGCTTTTCTTTGTTTTCCTTTTCATCATGCTTTACTTCCTTCTTTTCATAATTTTTGTTAGAACCTACTTCTGTTATTTCTTTGTTCAAATTCTTTTCATTAGTTTCAATATTATTTAAAGATTTTTTTTCTTTTTCATCTTTATTTATTTTGATATCATTTTTTTCATTAAATTCACTTTTTTCTTTGTGTATATCATTCCTTTCTTTATTTTCATTGTTTTCTTTTTTGTTATAATTATCATCATTTACCTCGTTTCCCTCTTTTTCTTTTTTTTTATTCATAGTTTTATCCTCCTCTTTAGCTAAATTATTAATTTCATTTTCATGTAATATATCAGTATCTTTGTTTTCAGGTTTTACACAACTGTTAATAGTGCAGTTTTCAATAAAGCCTACATATTGTCTTTCATCAATTTTTATATTTTTTATTTTTTCATTATCATTACTTTTTTCTTTATCAAATTTATTATTAATTACATCTACCTTACTTTTTACAGGTATAAAAAATGAATCGTTTAAATTATCTTCGGTTTTTTCATTATTTATTTTTAATGAATTAAAATTAGAACTCCCAATTAATTTTGTGTATTCTTAATTTAAAAAAAAAAAAAAAATTAAATAAAAAATAAAAATGAAATTATAATGACTTTATTAAAAACTATTTAGACGGATGTAATTTATATAAAATTTTTTTAAAGAAAGATCATAGTTAAAAAACAGTATATTAGCATTTAAATAATATAAAAATTTTTTTTGTGTGTTCATTTGTGTTATTAGTATTATTATAATTTTTTTAAAATTCGTTTTTACCTTTATTTCTTAAAAATCCGTTTGCAAATAAGGCTAAAATCAGAAAAAAAAAATAATACATTTTAAGAAAAAAAAATTAAAACATTCCTTCATTAAATGTATAAAGATACTGAATATAAAATAATATATTTTACTTAAATAGTTTTTATTAAAAACATCATTATTTATTACTAAGGATTATGTATTTTTTTTAAACTTTCATTTTTTATTTATATATTTTATAATTTAGATGAGTTCTGTTGTAAAACAATAGAATAAAAAAATGATATTAAAAGAATAATTTTGTCTACTTCTATTTTTTTTTTTTTTTTATTTTATATATTCAAAAGAACTTCAAATGCATATATCAGAATCTTTTTTTTTTTTTTTTTTATTCTTAAATTATAAAAAAATGAGTTAAAAAAAAAAAAAAAAAAATAGGAAAAAAAGAGAAATATTAAACATTAAATATATAAAAAAAAAAAAGAAAAAATAAAAAAAAGAAAAAATTTATCAGAAAAAAAAAAGAATAAAAAATTTCTATGCATTAACAGTGCATTTTTTTTTAAAAATCATTTTACATTTTTATAATGCATAAATATGAATAAAATATTCAAGAACTAAAACAAAAAAATTAAAAAAAATAACTAGAAAAAAGCCCAAAAAAAAAAAAAAAAAAATTTCTAAATTAAAATAAAGAAACAATAATTTAATAAATTTAAATAATTCAATTATAAATAAAATAAAAAAAAAAAAAAAAAAAAAACACACAAATCAAACATAACCACATAGAAATGAGAAATAAAAAACTAGAAAAATTATTATAAAATAATTAAGAAATTAAACAAATTTATTTCTATTTTTAAAATATTAAAGTATCAAAACAATATAAAAAAAAAAAATAAATAAATCAGATAAAACAGCATATTTAATATTATAAAATAAGTGTAGGTATATATTATAGATATAAATTATTTAATCATATAAAGGCTCACAAGAAAAACTAGATAATACATTTTTTGTTATCAAATAATTGATAAAACCCTCAAGATTATATTTTCGATTTCTCCATTTTATAAATTTTTTTTTTTTAGCTAACATAGAATTAACTTTATTTTGTACAAGTTTCTGAATATTTTTTAATTTTATATCAATGTTATTAACTATACTTGCATCTTTTACAAGTTCAATTTTTGTGATTTTTAAATCCTCAATAAAAAGTTTACTTATATAATTTGGTGGCTTTTTATCATTACATTTTGCAGATATAGTAATTGAAAAAGATGACATATTTCCCAATAATGAACTATTTGTACTTACTGGGCAAAAATTAGAACCTAAACATAATTTTAAAAAAACTGGACCAGAAATATGTTTAAAATATCCATCTATTACTAAATAATATACTTTATTTTCATAATAAAAATTTAAATTTTTTATATTTAAAGAATTTATATCTTCCAAATAAAAAAGAGTAGCATGATAAAAAGTTTTTTCTTCATGAAATATTATTCCAACATTAAAACATGGTAATTTGGCAACATAATCCTTATTTTTACACTTTCCTATACTTGTAGGCATTAATGAATGAAATTTTGAAGACTTAAAGAAATCATTCAATTTTTTATTGGTTGAAAAAATTTTAAACTTGAACACTTTTTCTTTTTTAATAAAAGCCATTAATGACATTAATAAAATAAAAATAAACAAAAGCAAATGTAATAATGTTAATATTTTTGTTAAACTGTCTAGTTTCCTTTTCTTCCTCTTTTTTTCTAAATTTGATAATAAAATTGATTTAATGGGAATAATACTTTTAAAATACATAAAATTTTCATTCTTAACATTATCAACACTACTTTTTTTATTATTTTGTAAACAATCTATAATTTCATAATTATCTGATAAATTTGTTGAAAAGGTGTTGTCTTTTCTGTTTTTAATAAACGAATCTTCTTTATTATCAATTAAATCTAAATCTTCATACTCCTCATTATCTACTGTAGTATTCTGATACATTTCACTTATTTCATTATTATCTATAATTCTCATGCAAGCAAAATTTTTTTCTTCTTTTTGTTTCTTTATGCTTACACTATATATTTTCCTTCTATATAAACTTTTGAAAAATAATGAATATATAGGGATATCACAGTTTTCACTCTTTTGAATATTCAAATCAACTATTTCACTGTATCTATTCTTTTCAAATAATAATATTTTTTTTTTTGTTTTTCGTAATCTATTTATGTATATTTTCCATTGTCTCACATATAGATATAATGAAAAACAAATAATACCATGAATTAAAAATATCAAGAATTTACAAAACATTACTTTGTTACTTTTAAATAAAATAGTAATATTCATATTATTTGTATGTTTTACAACTTGATAAAATGTTAAAATAGATATAGTTATTATCTCTCCAAGTGAAAAATGAAGAATAAAGGAAGCTACATAACAAAAAAAAACAGATAAAAAAAAACAAAAGTTCAAAAATTTGCCATAAATGAAGTTAGTATTTATATCTTCACTTTTACTACTCAGATAAGTGCTACTATTAGGTGAAGATAAATCATCAGATGTATTTGATAACTTATCGTTTTTTTCTATTTCTTTTTTTATGTATAAATAGTTATATCTTTCTGAAACTGTTACTTTTTGATTTTCTCCTATTTCTGGATCAAAAACTAATTCATTATTAATTGCGAGGACCTTTCTATAATAATTTGAGAAAATAATATAATATATATTGATAAAAGATGCACTTAAGAAAAAAGAAATTCCACTTAATACTGGAAAAATGAATGGAAGTATTACAAAGAATGGACAAATATAATTTTTAGGAACTTTAATTTTTAATGTATTCAACATATCAATAAAATCAATTAAAATACCATCAATGTTAAAATTAAAATAACTTAAATTTATATATATACCAAAAATATTAGACCTTTCAATTATTATCAAATAAATACAACAGTATAAATAAAAAAATAAGAAAAGCGCATAAAGAAATTTTATGATATTAAAAGTATTTACATCACAATTTGATTTCAATAAGGAATTAAATTTTTTCTTTTTTAAATAAATATAAGCATCATTATTTTTTATTATTTTTGATATATAATTTATATTACTTAAATTTTGCAATTTATTATAACAAAGCAATTGGTTTTGATTTTTTTCATTTTCCGAAATATTTCTATCTATATTATTAAATTCATTTAATGTATAGCTTATTTCTTCCATACTTGTATTTCTAGCATTTTCATTATTACTAGGATTAACATTTTTTAAATATTTATCTTCAGCAATGTTTTCATTAGTTAAATTTTCCTCGTTCTTCTCATTTTCTAAATTGCTTCTATTTTTATCATCTAATATATAAGCGTGATTATCATTGTCATTACTTATTTTATTTATTTCATTGCAACAATCCACTTTAGTATTACACAAAATGGAATTAGAGCAATTTAAATTTAAATGTTTTTCAGAAAGTAACGGATATACTTTTATATTTTCCTTTTTATATAATTGAATTTTGATTGAAGTAAAGGTTAATAACAAGAAGGATGATAATGTTGATAAAATACAATAATTTATATAATGATATCCTCCAATTAAAAATTCTGCATTTAACAAATAAAAATTTAATGATGATACAATAAAAAATGATATTAAAACATCTACAAATTGAAACCTAGAAATTGAACTCAAAATGCTAAATTTTTTTAATATTAATAAGTTATTTTCATTTATTATATTAATAAGCTTTATGTCATTTTCTTCTTTATGATTTGCTTTTAGATTATGTAATTTAATAAAACTGTATAAATTATCACTAACCATAATAAATTTTAATATAGGTATAATAATAGAAAATATAAGTAATATGGACATATTGAAATAACTTTTTTTTAAAAATAATGTTCCAATTGATTCAATAATAGAATTTTCATAAACTTCATTTATATCCGAAATTTGGCCTTCATAAAAAGAAAAAAAAAAAAAAAAAAATACAAAATAATTATGTTAATAAAAATAATAATTATATTATATATATTATTCTTTTCTTACTTCCAAGGAAAATTATTCTAACTGCCGGATTAAAAACTCCATTGATAAAAAAAAAATAAGATATATAAAATAAAACAAAAGATAAAAACAAACATATAACCAATAAATATGATTTTGAATTTTTAAAAATTATCATTATACTTAAATAAGCTTTTCACATTTATAATAAATAATAATGGAAAGTATTTCAAATTAAAAATAATAAAAATTTTAAGATATCAAGATTAATATAATTCATATGATTTTCTACAAATTTTTTTTTATTCTAAGGAAATGATTTTTTAGATTCCATCTCCTTCTGTAAGCTAAATTACATCGAAAGCTTTATATTTTCACAGCTTTAAAAAAATATAGGTATATGTGAATAATTTTCGGAATGGTATTACATTATTTATAAAGAAAAAAAGAAATAAAATATATATTAAAATAAAAATAAATTAAGTGTATAATAAAAAAATAATAATAAAAAAAAAAAAATTATATTAAAAAATTTTTGAGAAAAATTAAAAAAAAAAATATAATAAAAAAATATAAATTTAAAAAAAAAAAAAAATAAAAAAATAAATAATTATAATATGCAAGCAAAATTGTAAAAATGAAAGTTTTCTAAATTAAATATACACTAATAATTTTTTTATTTACTTTTAATATGTATTGTAACATAAATATTATTTATTTTTATAAAAGCTAGATAGCTGTATTTTCACAGAAAAATTTAATTTAAAATCTAAGGGAAAAATTAGAAAGTAATTTTAGGTAATAAAAGATTTTTTATTTAAAAAAAAATGAAACTTTATATATCTAATTTTTATTTAAATTAAAAAAAATTAAAAGAAAAACATTAAAAACTAAATGATATATTTTATTTCTATATTATTATATTGTTCCTTCATAAACTATATTTAATGAGATAAATGAATACATTAAACTTGTTTAGGAATTTTTAATATAATCATTAAAAAAAAAAAAAAGTACTAGTGTAAGATCATATAAACTAAAGAATTTAAATACAAAAAGTTTTTTAATTTGCAAAATATTATTACCATATGCAAATTCAAAAAGTACATACTATAATTTATGTAACAAATAACTCTTCACTTTAATAATGAATTAAATATTTAAAAAAAAAAAAAGTTATATTGATGAAATAAATTTAGAGAAAATCCTGTTATTGAACTATTTTCTATTATAATTATATTTTTTGTAAAATTTTATTTGATGTATATTCTAAATTTAATATATATTTTTTATTTCTCTTCTATAAACTTTGTTTTAGATTACATTCCGTTTATAAAAAAATATGTAGAATCATTGAATATATTCATTTGTTACCCTTTAAATTTTTTTTTTCTTCTAATATATTTTTCAATTCACTCATTCTGTGAAATTAAGGTATAAAAAAAAATGATGATACAAGATAGTCAATATTTATCCAATTTTTATAATAAACATTTTATTTTATTCTTTAAATAAGATTTTTTTCCATTTTAATGGTTATATAATACCATATAATATGAATATTAATAAATTTTATGTCATATTATTCCATATTTATTAACAAAAAGCACCCATGCACACAAAAATTTCTTATCTGTTCATATAGAAAAAAAAAAAAAAAAAAATAAGCTAATTAATCTATATGTTTATAAACCCTACACAATGATAAATAAAATAAAATCATTCGAATAAATAACAATGTGAAAAAAAAAATATGTGTATATATATTTATTTGCACACAAGGACAATATAATATTTATACGACAACAAAAAGAACCTTTAAAATATTCAACATTAATTTAAATAAATAATAATAATATTATATATATAGAAAATTAATAAATATTTTTTATAATTTTTAACATTTGTACAAATAATAAATTAACCTAATCCTTTTAATTTTAATTGTTATGAAATAAGTCTTATTATAATTAGAAGTTCTTGGAAAATCATTTGAAACATATTCCAATATTTATAGTCTATAAAGATGATTGACTCATTTCAAATTAATGATTTAAATAAGTTTCGTTTTTCCTTGAGTGAAGAAAAAATTATTGAAAATTTTACAGGTAATAAAAATAATGAATTTCTAAATGATTCTTCTATTCCACATATACTAAAAGAAACGAAGAATAACATACCAAATAATTTAAATGATGAATATATATCCTTTCAGGATAATTTAAAAGATAAATATAATGATCATGGTAATAGTCAATCATGAAAAATGTTTTTTTTCTACTTCTATTTAATTTTAATATATATTATTATAAATAAAAAAAGAAAATTTATAATTGTATTTTTATAAATATATATATATATATATATATAATAAAATGTTTAAAATCAAATAACTTTTTTTATTCATAGGAGAAAATGATAATAGAATCAAAAATTATTCAATTGAAATTTTATTGCACAAAATAAGGAATTTAGAAAATGAAAAACAATATTTATTAAAATTTTTAGAAGATAAAAAAAATAAGGAGTTAGAATATTTGAAGGCACTGGAAACTCAGGTAAATATCAAAAAAATATAAAATTCTTTAGAGTGTGTACAATTTAAAGAAGAAATAGTGAATAAAAAAAAAAGAAATAAAAAGAATTTTAATCTTTAATAATATTAATTTAGGCAGCACTAGTTAACTCTGAGAATAAGAAATCTGAATATTATGAAAATGAATGGTTGAATATGAAATCACTGGAATATTCATTGGTGTAAGGAAAAAAAAAATGAAAAGCTATAAAATTTTGTGCACGTTTATTAACTTAGAAAATTGTTAAAATAGTAATACTTTATGTTATGATAAAAATATATGATTTATAACATTAATATTAATGTATATATATATATATATATATATATATTTATCTATATAATTTTTTTTTTCATTTTTTTAGAAATTCTGGTAAAGCATCATTAAGACAAACATTAGAATTATTTTATGAAGAACCTAATTTATACGAAGTTAAAAAAAAAAAAAAAAATAATAATAATATTTTGCTTTTTGTTTAATATAAAATTGTCTATAATTAATATTTGTTTAAATTCATATGTAGAAATTGGGAAGTCTCACAAAAATCCAAGAAATATTTATAACAAACTTAATAGAAGATCATAAAAACTTAATAAAAGAAAGAAGTACAATTTCTAAAAAATATCATGAAGCAGTGGTTATACATTTTTTTTATTAAAATTTAAAAAAAAAAAAAAATCATGGTTTTTTTTTTTTTTTTTTTTTTTAATTATATTAATTTAAAAATATATTACTTGTTATTCAGGATGCAAACTTCCAATTATATCAACAGAACGAAATGCTTAAAGCACAAAATATGAATATTTTAGAAAAAAATAAAGATATAATAGATGAAGAAACAGTAAATATTATATAAATATTACAAGATAAAAAATTATATGTATAATCACATTTCTATTAATATACATTTATACAATTTTTTTTTTTCTTTTGGTTTATTAGGAAAATAAATTAAAAGCCTTAAACTCATCACTTATATATGTTCAAAAGGAAAACATTGAACTAAAAGGTTATTATAAAAACTTAACAAATTGCAATACAATATATTTATAAATATAAATATTTTTTTTAATTTAGAAATACTTGATCAATATACCAAGTTAATAACTAATATAAAGAAGTGCTCAGAAGTAAATAAAATAAAAAATTTATTTATTTTTTGTTTTTTTAATCTGCAAATTTTATTATGTAAATTTTACTTTTTAATTACTTTTTTTTTTTTTTTTTAGATAAGTGATATAATGAAAGAATTAGATAAATTTAAAAACTATTTATTAATTTAAAAAAAAATAATAATAATCACTGTTCCATTTAATGTTTTTTGAAGAATATTTAAATAGAAATACATTTATATTATAAATATTTAATTAATTGTTTTATTAACTACCTGTTCAAATATTATAGTAATAATATTTTAACTTACATTTTTTGTAAATCTTCAACATACTTAAATTACCATAATAATTAAATTTAATGTTTTTTTTTTTTTTTTTTTTTTTTTTTTTGTTATAAAAGTCATAGATATATAAATAAGTAAATAAATATATATATATATATATATATATAAATCAGAGTTACTTATTTTAGGATATATTATATTTATATATATACCAATATGTTTGTGTATTTAATTAAATAATGTTCAATAATGTTATATTTATTTCAGTTCTATTTTATTTTCTAATTATATTTTGTTAATTTGTTTTTTAACATTACTTATTTAAATAATTCATTTTTTCATATTTGTTATGGTTTTATTTTGTTATATTTATTCTCAATTTTTAATAATAATTACTCATTACACATTTATGGTTTATAAATTGATTTTTAATTAGTTATCTATATATATGTAAATATATAAATATTTCACTTTTTTTCTTTTTACTATATCTAATACAATATTTATATAATTGTGGCAATATGTAAAAACAAATAATTTTTTAAAATATCAAATAAAAATTATTAATGACTTACACATTCTGTGTATTTTTACTTAAATATTATTTATTTTAAATTAGTATGGAACAATTTAAATTACTAAAAAAATCAGTCTTTTTATATATATTTCGTAAACATATTTTTTATTATATTAATAAAAATAATTTTTGACTATAGAAAATTACAGTTAAGAGTAATAAGATTTATTAGTATCATTAAAGTACATTTTTTTTTTTACATGAACATATATATTAGTTTCCTATTTTCATTCTATTTCTAATTTCAATTATTCTTTTAAAAAGTAGTGCATAATATATTATGGACATATTTTTCTTTCTATTTCATAAATAATTATTCCTTTTTTTTTTTCTTATTATTATTAACATTATTTTATGTTTTTTGTCTAAAATCAGACATAAATATATATATAAACTAGTTAATATTATTAAAATAAGTAATAATATAATTTCTGTTAATGTTGTTTTAAAGAAATATTATTTATATTTAATATTTAAATATTGTATATTGAACATATAAACATAAAAATATATTCTCATTTTATTTTTTATAAATATGAAATATAAGATAATAAAAGAAATAACAAAACATATTATAATACTGTACTATTAATATAAAAGACATTTATATAAGTTATTTTTTTTTTAAAAATTTTTTTTTCCCTTCTTCTTCATAAGAATTATGTGACTAAAAAAAGAAAAAATAATAAATCTTTTTATATATGTAAATTACAACTTTTTTTTAAGATAAATTAGCTAGTAGTTTAATATAGGTATTTTATTTTCTTTATAAAAAGTTAACTTAAAAAAGAAAAAGTATAAATTAAGAAATATTATTTATAACATTTTTCTTTTCTTATTTATATTTTTTTTTATTACATCCAACAAAAAAAAATAATGGGTCTTATTTTAAAAAATTTTAAAAAGTTTTTAAATTTTATGAGTTAAATTTTAAAAGAAGTTTTTATTTTTCAAATAAAATTTGATTTAAATAATTTAAAAAAAAAAAAGAAATGATAAAATAATAATTACAATAGTAATAATAAAATAAAAAAGGTATGAATGAGTTACTTTAAAAAATTGAAAAATTTTGTATCTACATCACAAAAAAAAAAAAATAACTTATACAACACAAGTTTTTTATTTAAGAAAGACAACAATAAGAAGTAAAAAATCGTCTTTCATTAAACAGTAATATAAAAAACAAAAAAAAAGAATAAAATTATATTAATATATATATATATATATATATATATATATATATATATATATATATATATATATATATATATATATAGAACCAATATATGTAATATAGATATTAATAGTTTAAATAACTACAATAAATTTTTATGCATATAACAATTATTTAAAAAAAAAAAAAAAAAAATGTTTATGAAACGATAGAAATATAAATAATTAAATCATTCTGGAAGTAAAATTTATGTTTATTTCATTTTTATTTTTTATTTTTTTTATTTCATTTGTTTTAAAATTAATTAATGTCATAACTTGTATTAATAATATATAATTCGTTCTTTATTATAAATCTATAAGAATGAATTGTAACTTAAAATCACATAAATATGTATATGCATTTCAATTTTTTTTTCTATTTTTTAGTTTCATTTTTTCTTTTCTACAATTTGTTTCATATATGTAATTTTTATGATAATATTCTAATTTATTAAATAAGATTTGAAAAACAATAATGAATTAATGCTTCTCTAGCATTTTGGATTCTTGTTAAGGGATTTGGATCCAAAAGTCTTAAGCATAAATCAAATATTTCAGGATGGTTTTGCCAAACTAAAGGATCAAAATTTGGTTTGGTTTGAGTTAAAATTTTTTTTTTTAAATGAATAGGCATATTATTATTAATTTCGAAAGGAAAATGACCATCCATTAATGCATATAAAATTACTCCACATGCCCATATATCATTACCTGTAGAAATTACTCCATCTAATGATTCTGGAGGCATATATGGTGCAGTTCCGCATATAAAATCTGATTTTTTACTTGTGCAATCACTAGTATTAGATACATTTTCTATCATATCCATATCAATTAAACATAAATCACTAAAAGAATTGATTATTGTATTCCCCCTTTTTTTTTTAACTTTACATTTACTTTTTTTAAATATTCGACCTTTTTCTTCATTCGTTAAAAGTTTTGTGAAAGAGCACTTTTTGGTATTATTTACTGATTTGTTTTTATCTAATAATGCATTGGAAAAATTATTACTGATTCCACTAAGACTGTAGGAATATTTAAAAGTATAATATTGACCTACTGAAAATTCAGAATGAAAAGAATTCGTAGAATTCATAGATATGGTTCTATTTGTTTCATCTTTGCTACTAAATTCCATATTACTGTCCATTTTAAAATTGCTATTTTCAAATTGATCGTAAAATAAAGAAGTATATGAATCTTCCTCATAATTAATTATATCTATAGAATTATTATACATTCGATTCCTTTTTTTTTTATCCAATAAAATATTATTCTTTATTAAAAGTAAGCAATCCTCCTTAAAATTAATTTTTCTCATTTTTTCTCTTGGCTCTATATAAGATGATTTATTTATTTCAAATAAAGAAGGATCATCTAACCTACAATTATCATAACTTTCATTGTCAAAAACACTTATTCTTTTTTTTTTAAACATTATATTTTCAAATTTAATATCTCTATGTATTATATTTTTAGAATGTAAAAAATCTAAAGCTAAAAAAAGGTTTTTCATTATTAATTTTATTTCAAATACATCTAAAGATCCTGGAACTAATGACATAAAATAATCAAGTAATGTGGATCCTTTACATAATTCCATTATTATACAGTTGTAATTTTTATCAGAGAATATATCATGTATTGTTATAATATTTTTATGAGGATTATTTTTTAGGAATAAATATTTTTTCATCAGATTATTAACATACAAATCATAAGGATCTTTTGAAACTATTTTCATAGCATACATTCTTTTATCAATTGTATTTACACATTTATATACTTGTGATTTTTTTCCATAATAAATTAATCCAACTATGTAATATATACTTCTATAATTGCTTGAATTTTCTTTCATGTAAGGAACTGAATTACTTGCAAATAATGTGCATTTTTTTTTATTATATATTTCGTTGAATTTATCAAATATATTTTCTTTCTTATTTATATCTTTGTGTTCGCTTAACGTAGTTTCCTTTTCACATATATCCTTTCGTTTTTTTTTTTTTTTTTCATAATTATAATATTTTTTAGCTTCATCTTTTTCATTTTTTATTTTTTTCCTTCTTTCGGCTATTTCGTCATTTTCCATTTCAAATAACTTTTTTTTATTATCCTTTTTATTTTCAGATTCTTCAATACTCTCCCTCAAAATATCACTATAATGTACTTTATCTTTCATTTTATCTATTTTCGTGTCATTATCATAAACTGATGTCCCATGTGAAAGATAATATGGCATAGTAGTATCACCATTTTTTATTGTTTGTTTTGGTATATTTTTATTATGTGCAATTTTATTTTCTAAATAGATGTTTTTATAATAATATTTTTGTTTATTAATATTTTCCACATTTGATTTTAAAATGGTTTCCATCTTTTCATAATTTTTATTTTCATCCATATAACCTTTTGGTACAAGAAAAATTTCATTATTACTAGAAATATTTAAGTAATTAAAAAGATGGGATAATGAATTTTTTGAATTACTATTTCCTTTTTTTCTTTCTATATCTCTTATGGAATTTATGAATTCATTTCTCTTTTTATTCTTTATAGTTATTAACTTTTCTGTATTTTTTGTATTGATGTATGAGTTATTTATCATTAAATTTAACACATTTGCGTTATTTTTATAATCTACCTTTTTATCATATAAAGAAATCTTTCTATTTAGTATATCTACATCAGAATTCTTTAATTTCAAAAATTTTAACATTTTTTTTTTATTTTTCAAAAATTCTTTTTTTTTTATTGGATACTTGAAGTGTAAATTGTCATTTTGAGCTATATGTCTACCTTTTGTTTTAAAAGAAAAAGAAGCATATTTATTCTTATGAGTGTTTGATTTTTTTTTACCAACTAAACATTTTTTCATAATTAAAGAATATTTTTTTTGATTTATTCTATTTATCAAATAATAATTATTTTGAAAATTTGCATTACATTTATTACTATTATAATTAGAAGATATATTTTTATTATCATTATTTTTATCATATTTAGCACATATCGTTTTTTTATTTTCCTCTATTTTAATAGCTTTTTTATTTATATGATGCGCCTTTTTTTGTTTTTTTTCCTTCAATTTTTTACGTTTAATATTCTTAAATAAGAATTTCCTACGTATTTTATTAAATTGACTTTTCATAAAACTACTACAATTAGCTTCACAAAAAATTTTACTATGATAAGTTTTTAAAGAAAATTTATTATAATATTTTTGATAGCATTTTTTATTGTGGAATTCAATGTTATTATTATTTATTTTGTTCCAGTTACTTTCATTCCTTTTATTATTAAAAATTTTATTCCTATAAAAGTTATAAATATTTCCATTATCATAGTATTCATAATATTTTTTAATTTTATTATTACATAATGAAAAAACTTTGTTATAGTAACTATTTCCATTTGATAATATATATTCCAAGCTTCTATTTCTTCTTAAAGGTGTAAAATGAAAATCTTCAGTTTTTAAAATATTAAATATTCCACTACTGTATGCTGATAAAAAAAAGCAAGAATTTGATTTACGTGATTTTACTTTACTATTATTAATTAATTGAGTTTTTATGTCATAAATACTACTATTCAATACATTTGGATTATAACAAAAAAATAATTTCTTATTAATATTATTTAAAATTTTTACGTTTTTATAATAGCTTATACTTGTCTTATTTTTATTCTTCCTTTTTTTTTTTTTTATATTTTTCCATTTATTAAAACATTTGTCACACATATTTAATTCATAATTCAATTTTTTTTTTATTATTTGACTTCTATTAGTCATTTTATTTTTATTTTTTATATCATCATTATTTCTTAAATAATTATTAAAAGTATAACTATTAATATTTTTTTTTTTAAGAAATTCACTCATTAATGATTTTCTATTTGAAGAAAGTAATGGATCACTATTAATTTTTTTATTTATTATAGTTTTCAAAATATCCTCATTTTGAAAATATTTTTTTTCAGAAATATTTAATGTATCCCTTTCTCCAGAATAAGTGTTTTTCTTGAATAAAAAAGATTCATTAATATTATAGCACTTTAAGCTTCTTTCCCTCTTAAAATGATCATTAATCATTTTCAAATATGTTTTATCTTTTGTGTCATATATTTCATTTGATTTCCCTTTTTCGATTATTTTGTAGGTATTTTTATTTTTTAAAGTAGCTAAATGTTCTATATTGTTTGTTAAATCATTATATTCATACTTACAATTATTGCAGTTATCTTTATATTTATTAATGTCCTTACTATTACATTTAGTTATTACATTTCTTATAATAATATTTTTATTTGTACTATCTGAATTATTAGTAGGAAATTTAATAAAACATTTTGAATGTTGATTATATTTTTGTTCTATATAAGATTGAATGTCATCATCTCTATTTTTATTTAAGGTATTTTTTGAATTAATCTTTAAATTTAGCTTTTGTTTATTTTCATTACTTATAAAATTTTTATTATTTTTAACTTTATTATATAATTCTTGCGTAAAATAATCTAGAATTTCACTTTCTTCGTATTTGTTCTCTTTAATATCTCCAATATACCTATTTCCTGACTTATCAAAATTGTTCTTCGTATTTATATAATGATTATTATTTTCATTGACAGAAACTTTACTTTTATTGCATATATTTTCATTATTTAATTTATAGAATACCATATCTTCAGTAGATTCAACATTATATTTTTTAATATTTTCAAAACTGTTATTTACGCTTAAATTATATCTTTTATTACCTACATTGTTTAAAATAAATGAATTAAATTTATATTTAACTATATATTTTTCATTGCAATGTGTATCATTCATATTATATTTTTTGTTTATGTAACAATCATTTTTATTTATTAAATTATTATACTTATAACAACTGATCAAATTTGTTTTTTGCTTTTCTTGATGTGTATCACACAATTTTTTGTTAGGAATAAAATTCTCAAAAGATTTAGTTTTATTCATTTCTTTATCAATTTTCAAAATTTCATTTTCATATTTTAAATCTTCTAGTGTATTTAATTTATTGTATGAATCAAAATCATAATTTAATATTTGTTTTTTCTTAATATTGGAACAGGTATTTATATTTAATTCCTCATTAGAAGTAATGTGTTCAAAAGAAATAATATTACAATTACTTTTATTTGCTGTGTCATTTGTACATTTAGTATATTTTAAAGATTGAAAATATTTATCATTTATATTTTTTTTTTTTTTAATTTTATTACTATTATTTAAATTATCAATATTTTTATTATTGTATCTGTTATTTTCATCAAAATATGAAGTAATCATTTTTAAATCTTCTGACACTTCATAATTATCCATTTGAAAGTTAAAGGATTAAAAATGATCAAATATAATATATATTTCCCTTTAAGTTTAAAAAAAAAAAGAAAAAAAAAAAAAAAAAAACAAGATTAAAATTATAAAAAATAAAGAAAAATTATAAAAGTTTTAGGCAACAAAAAATGGAAGAGTATGTATATCTATGAAAAGCAAATAAAATGTGAAAATTGAAATATATTTTTGACAGTTGTCCAAGCAAATTTACAGGAATAACATAATTTTCAGTCTTCAGAAAGAATTTGCATTAAGGAAATATTTCTTTTAAACATTTTATGGGTTCTTTTAATTTATTGTCCCAGATACGTACTAATTAAAAATCAAATTTGCTATAGAAATTTGTTTGAAAATTATTCTCTTTATCATTTTAATTAACAGTTTTACAAAAATTATAAATTGTATCTCAAGTAATATTAATAAATTTATGCTCAATTCATAATATGAATAAAATTACAATTTACAAAATTGAAGCAAAATTTTAAGGCTTAATAAATTAAAGATACTACAACAAAACAAAATAAAAAAAAAAACAAAAAAGTTTAAATAATAAAAATTATAACTTTATGTATAAAAAATAAAAAATTAGTATTTTCATAATAAAATTAATTATAATGTATACCTAATTATATTCGTTTTATAATAATTTAGAAATTACTCTATTTTAATTTCAATAATATATAAAAATAAAAACATCTACTGGTGCAAAAAGAAAGTCGGTGAAACATATGCACCGTTAACACAATGAAAAAAAAAAAAAAAAGCAATAAATTTTTAATATTTGTCTTAACACAAAATTTATATTTATGAACATATATAATTTAATTTTTTATTACTATATTTTAAAAATATAGTTTATACACTTAAAAAAAATAATAAAAATAATGAAACTCTTCTACAACTCTAATTAAAAAAAAAAAAAAATTATAAGATTATATATATATATATATTATATTTAATAATTCAACATACTTCTATTGAGTAATTTTTCCTAAAAATTAAATATTCCTTTATTATTCAATATTTAAAAGCTCATTCTTTACGTATAAAAAAAAAAAAAAAAAAATTGTGCTTAAAAAAATTTTTTATAAATAAACACCTACAACAGTTAATATTTACAGCTAACTAAAAAAATGAAAAAATTTTTAAAGCATCATACTAATAATTTTTTTTTAAGCTTATATTAACATAAAATAAAATAAATTTATAATAAAGAATGTAAAAAATTAAATATAGATTTTTTTCTTTTTTTTTTTTTTTTTTTTTTTTTGTACATCACAATATATTAACAACTACGCAAGATGGATAACCAAAATAAAATGCATAATTTAAAAAAAAAAAAAAAAGGAAGGAAAAAGGAAAAAATTAAATATAAATGAGAAAAGTTGGAAAAATAAAATATATAGGTTTAATTAGGAAATTGTGTGCAAAAAAAAAAAAAAAAAAAATTATAAAATACGAAAAAAATTTATATAGTTGTGATGTTTTTAATGACAATTTATCATATACTTTTTTTTTTTCCCGTTAATTAATTTTTCATATGTTTACATATAAAGTTTTAGTAAAACAAATTATTAAATTAAATTAATTTTAAAAAAAATTAATTTTAAAGCTGTTCTTAACATCATTTTTTATTTTTAAGTAAATTACTATCTATTTTGTAACTAAATAAATAATGAAAAAAAGCTAAAAAATAATGAATTAAAAGAAAATGAAAAAAAAAAAAAAAAAAAATTTAATTTTTTTAAGCTAACGCTTTTTTAAGGAATATTAAGAAAAAAAATTAAATAATGTTTTATTTGATATTAAAAGTGTATAAAACATTCTTCTATTTTTTTACTTAATGCAAGTTTTGATTTGCATGTGTGTGTATGTAATGGATAATTTATTCATGTTAATTTAATTATTCTTTTACCTTACTTTTACATTAAATAGTTATTTTAGATTATATAACATTAAATTATTGTCAAACGTTATGTATATAAATATATACGTATCTAATATATTATTCCATACATATTTTGAAAAACAAAATAAATGTAACATGTTTATATAGATAGTTATTATTATTCAAATATATTTTGATAATGTATAAATTTACAAGAAAATTTTATATTTATTTCATTAAATATTAAGTTCTATATATTACAAGCATATATTTATATACTTTAATATTTCCTTCTATAACAAAATTTTTATTCTATTTTGTCTTATATACGCCATATTAAATTAGCATTCAAAGAATGGAAACTTTTAATTCAAAATAGTTAAAATTTTTTCTTATAACGTTATATTTTTCAAGAATAAACTAACAATTTTTCTATTGTAAGTAGTATATGTATATATATGAATACTATTAATATAAAAATTGATTCCATTTTTTTTTAATATTAAATTATATATTAAAAATATAGTTATATATTATTAAAAACAGCTTTGTTATATTCATTAACAATATATATATAATAATAATATAAAGGGTAACTTAGTAAGTTATAAACATAAAATATAACAAGAATAAATTATAAATTAAATATATTAATAAAAATATGACGATAAGACACAAAAATAAAATTTTTATTATTAAACTTATATTAGGATATATGCAAAAGCAAAAATAATTACTGTCCTTTACTTATACTATGTGATAAATAAATAATAGATAAGGTATTTTTAACTTCTTCCAAAATAATAGGATTATTAATATTTGATATATAATACAAGTGTTTTAAAATATCATAAGGATTTATTTTTTTAAAAATTAATAATGATTGAATTTTTTTTAGTAGTATAATGAAAGGTTCATCAAATGCTTTGTATTTTAAAAAAAATTGCATACATAAAAGTATATTCTTTATTTCTTTTATGTCAACTTTTTGTACAATGTTGCATATATTTTTAATATGTTCTTCATCAATTTTTTTTTTATCATCACATAATATTTTTAAAATAATCATTAACCCTTTTTCTTTAAGTTTAATATTATCACGTTCATGCAGTATGTTCTTTAGAAGTAAATTGCTAATCTCTTCCATTTTTTGTGAATTCTTTGTTTTTTCTGCACAAAAATATAAAGCTATCAAAGATAAATAATCTAAATCATTTAGTTTATTTTCAATTAAACTCCAAAAAAGGTTTATTAAATTTATAAAATTTTGATCAAATGATATGCTTCTGCAATATGCATGAAACATTACAACTAACTCACTTAATGAAAATGAATTACTTATTTCTTTTGTTCTATTATAAATTAATTTCCATATATGTAAATTGTTAATTTTATTTTTATTTATATCTTCACACGCATAAGCTAATGCTGTATTGTTCATTTTAGAAATACGTCTAATAAATGCCTCTTCTAAATTATTTATCTCTTCATTAACTTTTATTAGATCATTTTTATGGTAAAAAATAGAATTTGATGAAATCTCACGATTATAAGAGAATTTTACTTTTTTATTTAATAAAATTAAGTTAATATAAAATCTTTTTGAACTATTCATCATTATAATTAACAAAAAAAAAAAATTAATATATAATATTTATACAAAAATCAAAAAATAAACAATGTCTTTTTTTTTAATAGGAATTCCTTTCAGAAAAATATCAGGACTAAAAACATTCTTGGTGAAATTTTCATTTGATCAGAAAAATTTGTTCATGTTGATATATTATATCTTCATGATTTATATATATAAAATTAAAATATTTGAAAAATTGTTCATTTTTTATTTCTTTGTAAATTCATTAAATTTATTTATTTTGTTTTTTTATTTATTTTACATTGTAAGAACATCAATAGATAGCTAAAAATGTTAAATTTTAATTATAAAGTTAAATTATAAAATAATATAAATTTATTTCTACTTTTTCCTTTAAATTTTTTGTAAATTTTTTTTTTCTTTTTTTTTTTTTTTTTTTGGATAAATAGAAATAAATGACAGAATTAAATTGTTTAAATACATATTTCATGTTAACCATAAAAATTAATTAAAAGATACTACGTTCATTTTTTTATTCTAAAATAATAAGCTTAATATGGTAGTATTATACTTTCTTAAAGTATTTTTATTGAAAGGCAAATTTCTTTAAAATAAATATATTAAAAAGAGTGGTTATTTTAAATGTGATTTCTACAAATGTTTTTTTTTTTGTATTTATTAAAAATTATTGTGCTTTGATGCTATTTAAATTTTACATAAAATTTTTAAAATGATGTTGAATTTACTTCTTATTTTAAAAAAAATGTAATATATTGAATATAAATTGCATTGAGAAAATGGTTATTTTATTTTATTGTTTTATATTTAATAAATTATATTTATATTAAACTTTGTTTATAACTTTAAAAGATTAAATTATGTTTACATATGTAAAGATTGTTGTATGAAAATAATTTTGTATAATATATATTGTTTTAATAAAAAAAAAATTTAAGCATATATTCTTTAATTTATTTTTGAACTGAATTATAAATAATATAAAATAAAAATAAATAACAAGTATATATTTATGTGAATTCTCAAAAAAAAAAAAAAAAACTAAAATTTTTTAGTTACTGATTTTTTATTTAAAAAAAAAAAAAAAAAAGAAACTAAAAAATGAAAATTAAAAATAAAATAAAAAAGGTTTCATTTAAGGATCCAGAAATATATGAAAATATTGAGAATGATAAACATGAATTTAATGAAAAACCTTACAGCAAAAATAATGATTCCATCTCTTTAACTAATGAAGAATTAAAAATTCTTTTAGAAAATTTCAATCCTATAGATTATGGTATTACAGAAAAATTAAGTGAAAGTGAAAAAAAAATAGTGATTAAAGAAATTTATGAAAAAGAAAATGTAAAATCTCCCACATTAAATCAAAATAAAATAAAGAATAACATTGTAATAAAAGAAAATATAAAAAATGATGAATTAAAAAATACAGAAGTTATAAAAAAAGATAAATTAAAAAAAAAAAAGAATAAAGAGGATTCCTTATCATACTTAGATGGAGATTGTTATTTCCCAAATGATGGTTATGATTATGAGCAACATTTAAAGCCAATAAGTAAAAATTTTATAGAAATAAAAACAAAAAAAGAAACCAATTTTTTTGAGATAAAACCTAATAATGAAGAGGAAAAAGAAGTATATGAAGCCTTTGAAATGGATAATTTAGAAGAACTGAATGACAATTTTGTATATGAAGCACAAAATGTTAATGATATTGAAAAATTAGAAATAGATAAGGAATTAATTTGGGGTAATCAAGATTCATATTTATTTTTAAATAGTATTGAATATTCGAATACTTTAAATAATATCCAAAATGGAGATATAAAATATGAAAATGTTAAAGAAGATAAACTTTATTCATACAATTATTCTAATGATATTATTGATGAAAATGTTGATTATAATAATAATGATCACATTATATTTGATAAAAAATTAAATTCTTTTAAAAATATAAAAGATAATGATATAATCTCTGAAAATGAAAAAGGAAAAAAAAATGAAAAAAATGAAAAAAATTTTGACTCTTTTAAATTAAGTGATTTAATTGAGCATAAGTTAAAAAAAGATGATGATAAAAATAATGAAAAAAAAAAAATAAAAAAAAAAAAAAAAATAAATAATTGTAAAAGTTCAGAAATATTTGTTAATTTAAATGCTGAAGATAAAAATAAAATATTGCAAATTTTAAATTCACAAGAAAATGAAATAATAAATGATGAAGATAATTCTTTTTCAGAATATTCTAAAGAAGAATCAAGCTATGATTGTGAAACTATTTTAACAACAAAAACCAACACAACTAATCATCCATATAAATTAATTATACCTAAACAAATTAAAGCAAAACCAATATTAAATAATAATAATATTAATATTAAGAAAAAAGAAAGTGATAATAAAAATGAATCATTAAAACTTGAACGTTATTTAATCTTAGAAAAAGTAAGGAACTAACATACAAAAATATATAAAGTTTATAAAATGTTACTAAATATGTTTTTATATATATATATATATATTTTTTGTAGTATAGAAGTAATAAATTAAAAATAATATATTGTCTTAATTGTTAACTTTTTTTTTTTTTTTTTTTAGATAAAAACTACAAGGGATAAAAATGAAACACCAGAAGAAAAAAAAGAAAGAAAAAAAGCTGTAAAAGAAGCACAGAGATTAAATAGAAAATTGAAAAAGGAAAATTCTCTACTTATGAAGGTTAGGATTTTATATAAAAAAAATTTTTTTTGTTAACCTTATTATTATTTTTATTTATATATTAATCATTATAACATTAGAATGAACATTATTACTTATTCATTAAAAATAATTCCTTTTTCTTTTTTTTTTTTTTTTTATAGAATGAAAAAAAACTAATGAATAAAAATATTAACCCTTTCGACATAAGAGATAATATAAAATACATTAAGTTATAAAATATTATTTTTTGTTTTTTTTTTAATTAATAAAAAATGATAATTATAATGAATTATGTATGGGAAAAAATAAAAAAAAAAAAATTTAGTTTTTCGAATTTAATGTTTTATTTTTTTTTTTTTTTTTGTTTTTTTACTATTAACATCTATTAAATTTTTATTGAACATATTATATATCTTTTAACATAAATTTGTTAATTTTTATCTTTTTCAATTAATGCATATTTAAAAATTTTAAAAAAAAGAAAAAGTCTATTAAAAATATCAGAATGTTTCAAATAAAATAAATATAAATAAATTTACAAATAAATAAAACAACAAACAAATAAATCAGTTAATAAAAAATTAAGTAAACAACAAAAAAAAAAAAAATAAAATAAAATAAAAAAAAATAAAATAAAAAAAAATAAAATAAATAAATAAATAAATAAATAAATGTATATTCAAGTGTCAAAATTTTAAAAGCTTGAATGGTCACAATATGGTATAATTACATTATTTAGATAATTTTTAATTATATTAAAATATCTATCTTCATGATTTATTATTTCATTATCACAATATTTATTATAATATTCATTACTTTTTAAATATTCCATATATTGATGTTCTTCATATAATTTATGAAGAACAGATAATTTTCCTAAGTTTTCATTTAAATATAAAATGATTGATAATATTAGCTTTCTATCAAGACAAAAAAAATTTTGCGGATTATATAATTCTCCCTCTTTAAAATTTATATATTTACATAGAAAGATATTAAAATAAAATGTATCATCTAAATTTTTATAAATTATACTTTTTTTAATATTAAATTTATTTGTATGTTTGGAAAAAAAAGGAAAGTCATAATAAACTCCTAAATTAGAATTAAAAGCTAATTTAGGCATACACTTATAAAAATTCCTATATAAAATTTGAAACAATAACATGATTTCATCTCTTTTTAATGATTTTCTTCTGTAAATGCAACTTTCTTTTGAATATAATATATTTTTTGAATATTTAAAGCAATGATCTTTTTTGCTATATTTTTTTTTTGTTATTTTATTTTCTATTTCAAAATCGCTGGATTTATCGCCATGAATATCATTGATATCATTGTATGATAATGACAAATAATTTTTCGTTAATCGTATATCTTTTATACAATCTACTAATATTTTGTTAAAAAAAATAGGACAAAAATTTTTATCAAAATTCATTTTAAAATCATTATTTATGTGTTTTTTTTTAAAAAAAATGTTGCATTTTTCAAATTTTATATTCATATTCTCACTTAAATAAACATCTAAATTCCCACTTAAATATATATAAGTATCTTTATTTTTTTTATTCGAATTATGTACTTTTCTTTTTTCAAACACTTCATAATTTTTTTCACATAATTTATCTAATAATATAGATTTGCATCTCTTTTTTTTATTAGTTGTAATTCTTCCCTCCTCTTTTATTTCATCATATTTTCCAATTCCTTCCAAACAATCTGTTTCATGTATAATATACCTCTTTTTTTTATTTAAATTTTGATTTGTTAATTCATCTAAAAAGTATTCATCTTTTCTTGAAAAATAATATTTTCCTTTATCTTTTATTCTGCTTTTACTTTCTTGTATTTCTTCAGCATAGATATTATTTTCTTCATTCTTTTCATATTCATTCTTCTTGTGTTCTCTTTCTTCTTCAGGTTTTTCTTTTCTTTCTATTTTTTGTTTCTTGTTTTCTCTTTGATCTTCTGTTTCCTTCTTTATCTTTTTTCTATTAACTTTAATATTATCCTCTTTTTTTTCTGCTTTCACTAATGAAATAAAACTCTCATCAGAATTAAAATGATCTTTCATTTTTTCATTAATTTTATTTACTTTATTATTCAGTATTATTTTTAAAGGCTTTCTTTCTAAATTTTCAATTTTATTCTGATTTCCTTTTTTTTTATTCTTTGTAAATTTAAAAAATATTCTAAATAATTCATGAATTAAAAAGGTTTTATATTTAATACTTGAAAGTTTACATAAGTTTCTAACAATTTTTCTTATTTTATACATACATACTTTTTTAGAATTATTTACTTTATTTTCTTTTTTAGATAAAATTTTTTTTAATTTTTTTTTATATTTATAAAATTCTTTGATTTCATTTTTTATTAACATTTCTTTTTCATTTTCTAGATTTCCATTTGTCATATTAATACATTTTCCTTTTATGAGTTGTGTTTTACTCATTTTATTTTTATTATTTATATATGAATATAAATTTCTTTTTTCGTTTTTAATTTTAGAGTCTATTCCTTTTATCTCTTCTATCTTCTTATTCACATTTATTTCTCTTTTATTATTTGTATCATAATTATCTTCTATTAAATTATTACATTTGTTATGAAATTCGTTGTAGCTATTATTATTATTACCATTATAATTTTTTTTTTTTTTTTTTTTTGTAATATTTTCAAATTTTCTCACTTTTGTACAACCATTATTTAATAAATCACTTGACCATTTATCTTTACTATAAATCATACATTGTATGTCTTTTAAAAATAAGTTTTCATAATCTTTATCATCTAAATAAAACTTTCTCAAAAATGCTAAATAATTTTCATGCAATTCTTGATAGTTTTTAAAATTTATTTGGGTATATTTATCAAATTCATTATTATTATTATTATTTATTTTTATTATATCATTATGTTCTTTAGGATCATTTTTAATTTCATAAATATTAGAATTTTTAATATATTCATATAATATATTTATCTTGTATTGATGTTTTATTAATTCTTTCATTTTATAATAAAAATACATTTTTTCCTTTTTTATTATTTTATAAGTATTGTTTTTATTTAAAGTGTGTATAAGATGGAAATAAAAACTAATGTCTTCAATATGTATACTTCCTATATTTAAATTATTGTTACTTTTCGAATCAAATAATTTAGAATAAATAGAAAATAAATTTTCATACATTTCTTTATCTCCGCTCACACTTATACACAACAACCCATTACATTTACTAAAAGAATTACAAATTTTTTTTGAAATATATTTAATTAAGCTTTTCTCATTCATGTTATTTGCGTTAATATATTGATCTATTCCATTTGAGTAATTTAAACAATTATGATTTTTTTCATTATGAGAAGATTCTACATTTTTCGTATGTATATAATTATTTACTCTCTCTTTCCCCCCTGTTTTATTTTTGAATGTACATTCTAATTTATTATCATTATTTAAATTTTTTTTTTTTTTTATATTTTTACTACTTAATTCATTTAAATTACCTTTTATTTTATTCTGTAATTCTTGTATTCTATTTCTTATTTTCTCAATATGGAAATTTGTATTTTCTTCATCTATATATTCTTTTTTTTTTTTTTTTTTGGAATTACTATCATAAATACTTTGGTAATAATTATACGAAATTCCATTTATAATATTTGTGTTATCGCATTTATTATTATTATTATTATTATTATTATTATTATTATTATTATTATTATTATTATTATTATTATTATTATTATTATTAATATTAATATTAATATTATGCTTATCTCTATCTTTAATAATAGTAAGGTTGTTAAAAGTACTATTGCTGTTATCATTATTGTCACTAGTGTTATTAATAAATATATTTGCCATATGTAAATCCTCTTTACAATTATTCATATATTTCCTATAATTGAAGTCTTTATATATATTAAATGCATAATTGTTATTGAAGTAATTTGAATAAGCATTCTGTGTTTTATATAGTTCACTATTTAATAACTTATTTGCATAATTAAAAATGTTCTCATTAAAAAGTAATTTATTTCTTAAAAGGATATTATCATATAAAATTTCATTTAAATCACTTTTTACATAATTTATATGAGATTTATTAATCATATTGTTGTAATATATTAAAACTTGTAAAAATTTTTTTTCATCATAATTAAAATTATCCTCTTTTTTATTATTTTCAAATAAATTATTAATGTAAAAATTAGAAACATTATTTACATTTTGGAATTTTTCTTGTGAATTCTTCAAATGTAATAAAGAATGATCTATTTGGCTGTTATTTAGATGGTTCATCTGATTACTGTATGAACATATATTGGAAATTTCTCCATAATTATTCAATAAATTGAAGTTATTTAAGTTATCAATATTATATTTAAAAATATTTTTGTTATTTTTGATTATATTATTATCATAAATGTCAAAAATAGTTTCATCTTTATTAATAAATACTGTATCAAATGGAATATTATTCATTTGCTCCCTTTTGTTAATTTTTTTCTTATTTGTATAATTTTTTTCATTTTGTTCTTTTATTGAATTTGATTCATAAAATGACATATAAGGATGACTAAAAACACTATCAATCAATGAATTAAATATTTTTTTATATTTGACATTATAATCACTAGTATTATATTCTTTATTTCCGGAATCAAAATAGGAAATTTTATTAAATTTTATTTTAAAATTATTTATGTTACTTAATTGTTTGCTTCTATAATTAAAATAATCATTATTTATATTTTTAATATTAATTTTTATGTCTTTTAAAGAATTATTTTCAAGAATATCTTCTGTTATATATTCCCTATTATTTTCAACATTAATTTCAACTTTACTTTTAGAACTATCTTGAATATTATCATTTATTTCAATTAAATTACCATTTTTATATTTAAAGTTGTTAAAATATGAGAGGTTATCGGAAATTTCCTCACTTCCTATAAAATTAGAGTTTTGAAAATTTTTTTGTTCTTTTGAATTTTTGTTATTTTTAATAATACTATCGTTTTTCATTATTTCACTTATACATTTAAGATTAATTACTTCCTCATTATTATTTATATATTCTACAAATTCTTTTGTATTAGGATTGATAGTTTCATTAGAATAGTTAATTCCTTTATACTTTTTTAATAGAATTAAATCATCACCATTATTGCTATAATTAATGTTTTCATTGTTATTATGATATATTTCACTCTTCTTTATATTATCTGAACTTTCTGAATAAAATAGATTTCCTTTCTTAATGATACATTTATAATCGTCAATATATGGTATAACTTTATTGCTATTTCTTTCTGCAATATTTATATTGTTTTTTTCTCTGTTATTATAATTTACATTATCACCAATTATAGTTCTACCTTCTCTTTTTGTATGATATAAATTAGTTATACAATTTTTATCATTAAGATTATCTTCTAATTTATTTAAATTATTCATTTTATTTCGAAATAGTTTTTATCATATATAAATATAACCCAATTATATAATGTTTGCACATTGTGTATTTCTTTATATTTATATAATTCTTTTAATTTTTTATCTGAATCTACATAATTTTCTAAAAATATTCATTATTTTTCATTAATTGCATTCTCTTATTAGTGTAAATTATAAAAAAGCAAAAGATTTTACTTTTTAATCATATCACTTAAAAATTAAATTTTCTTTTTTTAAAATAAATATCTCTAATAAATTTAATTTTTGTAATAATTAAAATGTATTAAAATTAAAATTTTTTTTTTTAACCTTTAAAATAATTTCATTTACACTTTTAATTGTATAAATTATTTTTTTTTTTAATTTTTTTTTATTGAAATTATACATTAATTTTAAAAAAAAATTAATGTCTATAATTTTTATATATTTTTTTTTTTTCTTTTAGGCTAAAAAATATTTTTAATCAAAAAATTTACAATATACTTGAAAAAAAAAAAAAAAAAAAGGAAATTAATAAAATAAAACCCATACTTGTTTCATTGAACTTTTTTTGAGAAAAAATAATTCATATCATAAATATTAAAGCACAATTCATTTATAAGAACAATATAATATATTCAAATTTTAAATAGTATTAATGATAGTTACAAAAAAATTTTTTTTTTTATCATTTTTATAACTTTGAATTATTTTGTAAAAGATTAATTTTATATAATATTTTAAATGTATTATAAAAAAGACTATCAGAAAAACAAAAAAAAAAAAAAATAATAAGAAAACAAAAAAGTTAAAATAAATTTTTTTTGTAGAAAAAAATTTTAACTTTGTTTTAGCAATTTATATATATGTTTATTTTTATTATTTTTTGATATATATACATAATATTATACATAAATTAAAAATGAAATATGATAAGAAAAAGTTTATTAAGATTGGCTGGGTATCCTAAAGCATCCTTTCATGAACAAAATATAAACCCATTTTCAAATGTTCAATGGTTTGATGAAAAAAATGTGAAAATTTATATAGAGATGAAGAAAAATATAATAGTTTTATTTATTTTTTATTTTTTTATTTTTTTTTTTTCTTGTGAATATACTTTATATTCATTATTAATAAAACAAATTTTTTTATTATCTTTTTTTTTGTTATTTTTTTACTAATTATTTAGGAAAAGTTCTCCTTTTTTAAAAAAAAATATGCCAAAAACAGATATATTTGCAGAAGAACATATTTCTAAAAATGCAATAAGTGTTTTTGATAAAGAAAAAGGCAATTGGTTTGTTATTGATGCAACTGATAAAAGTGTTGGAAGTTTAAGTGTATGCATTAGTAGATTGTTACAAGGAAAATATAGAGTTGATTATAATTCTAATAGAGTAAATAGTAGTAGTGTAATAGTTGTAAATGCAATTCATGTAAAATTTTATGGGCATACATGGGATACTAAAATTTATAAATTTCCAAGAAAAAGTCACTCAAAAGGTCATAAAATATTAACTTGTAAAACAGTTTTTGCTAGAAATCCATCTATGATTTTAAATTTAGCAGTTAAAAGAATGCTACCAAATAACAGATTAAGGCAAATATTTTATAGAAAACTTTTTGTTTATCCAGGTGCTTTACATCCACATTGGGGTATACCGCAAGTTATTATTCCAAAAAATAAAATAAACAAAGATAACGAACAAAATTCAATAAAAACATTCACAATTATTTAGAAAAAAAAAAAAAAAAAAAAAAAAAAAAA